CAGGGACTCAGGCATTATTCTTCCATAGCCCTTTCCCTCCCCAGGACTTAAGGCAATGATGAACTTAGTTTTCCCACCTATATAGTATTTATCTTTAATGAGTTATAAGGAAACTTACATGTTATGAATTCTCATATTTATTTACTTCTTTTTTTCTCATCAGCAAAAGTGGAAGAAAGTTGGAACTGAAATACTATGGAGAATGCAAAAAAGCTTAAGATGCACATGACTATGAAACATCTACAAAAGAAGTCCCATTTCTCTTTAAGCTTCACTCATCGCATCACCACAAAAAAATCCATTCTTCTCTTTGCTTATCCTCTGTGAGCCAGTGAATATCTTGCAACATCTTAATTCAGTTCATCAATAAATAAGCTCAGCAACATGATCAAACTCCCCATACATTTACTTGTGTGTTATCTATTCTTAAACAAATTAAGAATAGAATTTATATATGTCATCCAAGTTAGTATTCAGCTACATCCTTGCACTAGTGCAAGAATTAGTACATAACACACAATCAAGGAACTGAGTTTTAAACAATCAGCCTAATCTATTCCCTCTGGACTGCAACACTTCTGACTGCAGACAATGGATTTCTGCAGATTAAGAAAACCCCAAACCACCTGTTGACAGTCAGGTGATTAGTTAGACATTGATGCTAGAACCCATTACCCTGCCATGATACTTTTCTTTTCTATTGATTTTTAATGGAAGAAAATGAGAAAGAGAAGCAGAGAAATAAAAGTACACATAGAAAATCCAATTACCACTATATGAATTGATATATGCCACCCAAGTTGGTATTCAGCTACATCCTTGCACTAGCTCAAGAATTAATGTCATTGCAATGGGATTTCTCTCCTCCTTGTTTTCCCCACTTGGAGGTCCCACTGTGTATCCTTGATTTCTCTGGTGGATTTGGGAAATCCCCGAGGGAGGCAGGTTAGGCTGTGCAGAAGAGGACTGGACAATTTTTTCCCAAGAAGAGTCCGTTTTTATTCATCCTATTGCTCCCATAAATGTAATATTAATAGCCTCAGTAGCCCCTCCCTAATCTGATTCGAGACCAGAGACTTGCATTGTATCACGAATTGGCCTGTATATAAATTGGCCTGGGATGCTCGCCCCACCCCCTGGGTGCTGGCTCCGCCCCTGGGTGCACAGCATGTGCATTGCTATGGATGCCAGAGCAGCTAGCTCCGCCTCTGCCTAGGACAACCAAACTAGGTGTCTCCAGGAAGACATCTGCCACGACCTGAAGCAGCTTGGCCAGAGAATCCTTGGTGCAGCGGGGGGGAAGTTGGTACACCAGAAGGAATCCTGTACTGCCCCTATTGCCCAACTTCCAGAACATGCACTCAGAAAACTGGGTCTTCCCAATAGGACACCCCTCCCTAATCCGATTCGAGATCAGTGACTTGCATTGTATCAAAAATTGGCCTGTATATGATTCTCGTTTTCAGAATGTGGGAATTGGGAGTCTGAAATCAGGAGACACTGTGGCCCCTTCAGAAGAAATTGCATTACCAAATTGCAGACATCTGCTTCCATAGGTTTTCATGCTAGCCACATCTAAACTCCCCACCCCCGATATATATATCTATCTGTTGGCTAGAAGTCCATATAATAAATATTTACATGTGGAAATAGGACATTACAGAAGGCAGCAATGTGATGTAGCATGCATAACAGTTCCCTTCCTGTGCAGAAACTAGGGACATGCAAGAGATATGTGGTAACTTAGGAAGTTGCATGCAAAGTAGCTTGTCTTGACCATAAGCCAAAGCAAGGCTGAAAAAAGACTCCAGTGACAAATTGCATGTCATATAGTATTTGTCAAAAAATAACAATTTATTACATGGACCTAGCCAACACTGATTTCAGATATATATATATATATATTTTCCGGGGGTGGGGAGTTTAGATATGACTCTCATGAAAACCTGTGGAACGAGCCTTACTGGTTCAACATGTAAGCTATAAAATAAAACAGGTATTGTAAAGGTTGTCCAAGAAAGCAATACAAACATGTTATATACATCAAACACACTTATTATCTTTAATTATTTGAAAACCCCAGAAGTGGAAAACAAGCACAGAGAAAACAAGATTTGGTGATAGGAGAAAACAAGCCATGAATGTTTGGCGTGAGCATCTTGGATTTCCATTGTTTGAGGCAATTTTCTTATGAATACAAGTTACTGGGAAAACAGAAGGTAGGTCCAGTGTTTTTGCCCTCAGGTCCAGTGTTTTTGCCCTCAGGTCTGGCCTTAGTAAAAAGTCTGTGGTAGCTGACCACTGCCAAGTTCTTTAGATATTCAGCTATGTGAAATGTCCCAACATACTGTAAACTCACATCCCTTGGTGAGCAGTATGGGTAGGAGTGGGCCCGCAGATCACCGTAGTGATTTCAGTAATTTAAAGGCTATGTTGAAGCCCAAGTGTTGAAGATGAGATGGGGACAGCCCATTGAGGAAGCTTTTTGGGTGTTGTGCTTGGATCACCAACTGACATACTGGTTCTGAGCTAGAGGTTGGAGTAGTCCTGTGCCCAGTTTGAAAGCATAGATCTTAAGCCAGTACAGATCAAGGGAAGTAATAGTACTACTCTTTTCTGCCTTGGACAGACCACACCTGGTATACTGTGTCCGATTCTGGGCACCCACAATTTAAAAAGGATATTGACAAACTGGAATGTGTGCAGAGGAGGGCAACCATGATGACCAAGAGTTTGGGAACTAAGCTTTATGAGGAACAGATGAAGGAGCTGGGCTTGTTTAGCCTGGAAAAGAGGAGACTGAGAAGAGATATGATAGTCATCTTCAAATGTCTCAAGGGCTGTCACATGGAGGATGGAGCAAGCTTGTTTTCTCCTGCTCTGGAGGGTAGGACTTGAACCAGTGGTTTCAAGTTACAAGAAAGGATCTGACTAAACATCAAGAAGAACTTTCTGACAGTAAGAGCTGTTCGACAGTAGAAATAACTCCAATGGAAGGTGACAGACTGTCCATCCTTGGAGGTTTTTAAGCAGAAGTTAGATGGCTATCTGTTGTGGATGCTGTAGCTGAGATTCCTGCATTGCAGGGGGTTGGACTAGATGACCCTTGGGGTCCATTCCAATTTTACAATTCTGTGATTCTGTGATTCTAATTAGCTCTGCACCCCACACCCCTTATCATTATCAACACAATGTATTCTGGCTCAACTGGGTGGGGTTCAATGTTAGTTGCACTCAGAGTGAATCCACTGCAGCTAATTAACTTAGGTTCATAAATTCAATTTGGTTAGAAAAAATTGAATGGGATAGCTTGCCAATTCTATACATACCGTCAAAATCAGCTCCCCTCCACCCACCCTCAATTCTCTCCAAGGGCAGTTGGTAGGTCTCATACCCTCCAACATTTCTCCCATGAAAATAGGGACATCCTAAGGGAAAGTGGGACATTCTGGGATCAAATCAGAAACCGGAACGGCTTCTCTAAATCAGGGACATCCCTGGAAAATAGGGACACTTGGAGGGTCTGAGCTCTTGGACCTGGCTGTCTTCTCTATCTCCCTTCTCTCCATCTCTTACACATACACACAATCACATGCACGACAGGAAGAGAAGATGTGTGCGGTGGAAAAGATCAAACAGCCACACAGTGAAGCAGAGAGGCTGGTAACCAAACCACTGCCAGCTTATCTCCCAGTTTATGTTTGTGTCTTGCTCGATGGAGACACGGCACCTGAGAGAAAAAACAGCAGCACAAAAGGATTAGAATCTTCCCTCTCACCCTCCATAGCCCTTTCTATGTGAGATAGTTGCTTGGGCCTTTTTTCAACTGTTTCCTCTCCTTGGAGACAGGGCAGGAATCTGCTGCCAGTGCTTTTTATGACTGACTAAGCAAAGGAGATGCGCAGAAGCCCTCAGTTGTTAAAAATGCATTGGCATTATTGTGGTTGACAGGCGAAGACTGGACCTTGGGCTTGGAGAGTTTGGAGGGTTCCAAATCTTGCCTGAGCCATGCCCCACTTTGCCCCTCAGAGGTAAGGGGCAGAAGTAAGAACTCGCTTTCAAGGAAGAGTGAATAGGATTGAAACCTGACACCTTTTTTGAAGTTTGCACAGCATGGGGGTACTTCTAGCCTTTCCTAACAAAAGCGGATATTCTGATGAGCAGTTGAGTTGCCTTCCAATGCTTTCTCTCCATTCTTCTCCTAGTCCTCCAGTAGAAAAGGCAGAAAGACCTTTTCTGTCTATTTTCTCTGCTCTGTTGAGATTTCCTTGTGGAACAATACCTGTGAAAGTGAGGAGCTCTTCTGCTTTTCTCCCTTACTAAAACAAGGTGGCTGCTGCCTCTCAGAGATGGGCATATGCAGAACAGGATGATGGACCTGGTGGGTGATGGGTCTGATCCAGCAGCTGCTTCTTACGTTCTCCTTGTGCAGCAGAAGTCTCCCCTTCTCGCTTTCTCCTCCTCTGCATAAACTAACCTGCCCTGGGGATTCCTCAAATCCAGCAGAGTAACACAGGCAACACAGTGGGACACCCAGGTGGGGAAAGCAAGGAGCAGAGAAATCCCATTGCATTAACATTAATTCTTGCGCTGGTGCAATGATATACCTGGGTACCCACTTGAATGGCCTATATCAATTCATATGATGGCAAGTGAATTTTCAATGTGTACTTTTCTCTTATTTCTCTGTCTCTTTTTATTTTCTTCTATTAAAAATCAATGGAAAAGAAAAGAAATGTATCATGTCAGGGGGATGGGTTCTAGCCTCAGTGTCTAACTAATCACCTGGTGTTCTACAGGTGTTTTTTGGGTTTTTTTAATCTGCAGAACTCAATTGCCAGAACTCAGAAATGTCATACTCGAAAGGGAGAAGATTCTCCTGATTGTTTGACTCAGTTCCCTGATTGTGCGTTATTAGTAACAAACTTCAAGACCGATTTCTTGCCCAAATCATATAATATTTTTAAGAATAGATAATACACAAATAAATGTATGGAGAGTTTGATAATGTTGCTGAGCTTATTTATTGATAAACCGAATTAAAATGTTACGAGATATTCACTGGCTCACAGAGGATAAGCAAAGAGAAGAATGGATTTTTTTGTGGTGATGCGATGAGTGAAGCTTAAAGAGAAATGGGACTTCTTTTGTAGATGTTTCATAGTCATGTGCATCTTAAGCTTTTTTGCATTCTCCATAGTATTTCAGTTTCAACTTTCTTCCACTTTCGCTGATGAGAAAAAAAGAAGTAAATAAATATGAGAATTCATAAGATGCAGCTTTCATTATAACTCCTTAAAGAGAAATACTATATAGGTGGGAAAGCTTATGCCATCATTGCTCTTTGTCTTGGGATGGGAAAGGGCTGAGGAGGAATCCTGTCTGAGACCCTGGAAAACAGCTTCCTGTCAGCCTGGCCAATATAGAGCAAGAGAGAACAATATTCTTTTCAGGTCTACCATTTGTAGAAGATCCCCCTTCTCCCGCCTTCATTGTACATCTGTGTCAAACTTCTCTAGGAGCAAATGTTCAGACTTTTCCTAGAGCAATTCCAAGATCCACATTAAGGAAACACCTAGTGTAGGCCTTTGTAATGTAGGCCTTCATAATAATGTTCTTACTATCCCCTAATTGTGGGACATGGGTGGCGCTGTGGGTTAAACCACAGAGCCTAGGACTTGCCGATCAGAAGGTCGGCGGTTCAAATCCCCGCGACGGGGTGAGCTCCCGTTGCTCGGTCCCAGCACCTGCCAACCTAGCAGTTCAAAAGCACGTCACAGTGCATGTAGATAAGTAGGTACCGCTCCGGCGGGAAAGTAAACGGCGTTTCCGTGCACTGCTCTGGTTCACCAGAAGCGGCTTAGTCATGCTGGCCACATGACCCAGAAGCTGTACGCCGGCTCCCTCGGCCAATAAAGCAAAATGAACGCTGCAACCCCAGAGTTGGTCACAACTGGACCTAATGGTCAGGGGTCCCTTTACCTTTATCCCCTAATTCCCAGATGGCTTTTTTGGTTATTTTTCTTCTGGGCCAACCCTACTACCTTTTGTGTTGTGTCTGGCCTGGTGGGATGGCAATAGAGCCCTTCTGGGCATATTTCCCCTGCCCCCCCATCACCCTTAGCGGGAGCAACAAGAGTGTCAGGAGGGTGGTGCATGTGAATAGCCCTCCCAATCCACTCCATTTTCAAATTCAGGGCTACCTACAGATTAGCTCTGCTCACCATGTTCCTTTGGGCCTCATAAGCAACACAAAACTCAGGAGAGGGGTGTCCCCCCACTTGACTTTCCCTTCTACATGGGTGCTGATTCTCTTTTTCTTTTCCGTTCTTTTATTTACATCTCACCATGCTTATTGCAAATATAATCATGTACTTTTTAACTTCCAACAAAGATGTCTGAGAGGAAAAAAAAGATTCCTGCACTGCATGAGGTTGGAATACATGACTCTCAGGGTCCCTTCCAACTCTATGATTCCATGATATACTCACATATATGCATTGCAGAAGAGACACTTGTTGCCATAGGTCTTGCCATCAGAACCGCAGTGGGCCTGGTACTCCATGGTGCATATTGGATTTGGATACCCTTTGCAATATTTCTGAAGACAAAGGACACAACAGTTTTAAAGGTCCTCCCCACTTAACCTTTGGACTGGAAGGCCTTTCTGATTATCACATGCCTAAGAAAGAGGCAAAGATGAGGAATGCAAATGACAAGATGAACGACACAACAGCTTCCCCACTTAACCTTTGGACTACCCATTGTGGGAGCTTCCACCTGTCAAATTATAGATCGTCAGTGCCAGGGATTTCATGCAAGACACCTTAAAGTTTAAAATATTGCAGGGTTAGAACAGGTACAATTTTTTTCATGCTGTGAAACAAAATTTGCAGACATGGTAGTCCCCTCAGAGAAGATTAATCTTGCCAAATTGCGAGTGAGCAGCTCTAGGGGTTTCATGCTAGACACATTTAACGGTTGTTTTTGCAAAAAAATACTTTTTAAAAACACACAGTGAGTGCCTGGATTCTTAAGACAGTGGCCAAATAATATGCCTGCAAGGTTGGGCGGTCTGCCTAGTAATAACTGAATAACCCCACTAGGCTACTACTGAACACAAGCTGAGACTCTCTTATAAATTGTGGGTAGCAACTGGAACTAATAATAATACCACCAACTTTTTAAATTTTTTTTTAAAGGGGTGGGATTAGAGATGTGAAATCCCGGGAAAAACCCAGCTCTTGTATGTTATATTTGTGTCGATGTGTTTTTGTTGCCTGTATTTTAAATTCTATTTTAAAAATTGACACATACATACACACACACAGAGAGAGAGAATATTTTAAAATTCCAAAAGAAGTATAAATTCACTTATCTTAACTCCATGCTACTTCCATCTTCTATCATAAGAATAAATGATTTCCCACTTACCTTTTCAAATGATGCTTTAACAACAACATCTAGATGCAAAACACAGAAAATGTGAAAATTATTTCGTAAATCCATATGCTGCATAATAGTCCATTTGATAACATTTATTTCTAGGAACTGAAAAGTGGGGTGCATTGTATCTTGTACATCCTATGTTATCCTAAAAAGTGCCTTGGCAATATACAATTTCCTTCAAATGCCACTGAGCATGGATAGGAAGACAATCAAATGAATGGGAAATGGTTCAGTCCGTTAACTACACTAAATACAAATAACTATATATACTGGTTTAGTCCATAACTAACTGGGACCCAGTTCTGTTGATTTCCCTTGAGTGCCTGGCTGTGGTGCTTTGCGTGTTTAGAATCATGGCTAGGTCCACTTTTTATGTCACAAGAGCCACGTGGAGACCATGAAGAACGGAGGGAGCATGGTAGCTTCAGGGGGCATTAGTGTTTTGAGCCTCAGTTTTCAAAAAGGTTCCTATGGTGTGAATAGTGGTGGGCGCCTTGTGTAGTGTAGAGCCCTGATGTAGAGTATCTTTATTTGATAGAGTAAATTTAACATAGCAAGACATTCATTCTGGTTCTTCCTGGCATGTATCATTTCATATATGAGGAACCTTGAGAACAGACATGTTTCAGTGCCCAAATGAATGTGGGAAGGCTCAAGTGTGTATGTGTTTTGGGGGGATGTGTGTCCCTGCCTCCAGTGTCCCTATGCTTAACAACAATGTACCCTCCTTCCGTAAACTTTCAGACAGCGAACACAATGGTTTGCAGGGAGATTTTAACTGGATTTAGTCAACACAGGTGGAGCCTTCCTACACTCATCTGAAGACATGAATAGTCTATGGACTGTTTGGTCCCTACACCTCTCCAACAAAGAGAAATTTTGCAATATGAAATATTACTCACCTGAGTACAAAAAGAAGACCATCAGAGTGAGGAGGAGAAAGCTGCTTGGCTTCATGATTTTGCTGGTGGGTTTGGATCTGTTGGCCTCTTAGTGCTTTTCCAAGCAGTAGATGCTTTTCAGATTCCACTGGTTATGGATGAGGTCTCGTATCTCTTCCATGTATTTATGGAAGTTTCTGCAGCCTTGATGATGAAATCTCCCAATTTTTGAGAAATATTTACACATGCAAATGTGATTACACAAGACTGCAATGTCTTGTACCAATTTTAATGGTTTCCCTTTCAATGCACATTCCACGTGTATGCAATAAACATTTGGCAACCTGCTCCTTAAGAAATACGGCTTCTGGTGTGATGATGACATTGCTGTTGCAGGTCACAAGAAATGAGGTACAAACAAAACAGTTTTAGAAATGTTGGGATTCTTTTGATCATAGGCAATTGTTTTAGTATAAAGAAAAACAAAGGAGCCTTACTCGTTCAGCATGTAAGCCATAAAATAAAAGAGGTATTGTTGTCCCAGAAAGCAATACAAACACATTATATACGTCAAACACTTATTATTTCAAATTGATTAAAAGTACAGAAGTGGAAAACAAGCATAGGGGAAACAAGATTTGCTTGATAAGAGAAAACAAGCCATGAATGTATGGCGTGAGCATCTTGGATTTCCATTGTTTGAGGCAATTATCTTCTGAATACAAGTTACTGGGAAAACAGGAAGGTGGGTCCATTGTTTTTGCCCTCAGGTCCTGCTTGCAGGTATCACATAGGCATCTGTTTGTCAGCTGTGAGAACAGGATGCTGGGACAGAAGAGACATGGGCACGATCCACCAGCCATGTTCTGATTAAACCACACTTCCGATCCTCAGAGTATTGCCCCAACAATATCTCCCTCATTTTTCCTTGGAGATTGTCCTTGAAGTGGCATATTCATTCTATTGAGATCGCAGTGGCAAGGCAAATCCTTGATACTTCTAAGGACAGAAGTCTCACAATTGTAAATGGGACTCAACGGTACGGTGATTTTGGGGAGTGCTGGTTGCATTGCCTTCTTTTTAAAAGTGTCAGGTATTTTGTACTATCTTTGCATCAGAACATAATAGTGCTTACTTCAGGTAAGCTACAGTGCCTGCAGTGGCAGGAGGCCAGCCCCACAGCTCTGGCCCACCCAATATGCCACTTCTGGATGCTGAACTTTGACTTGGACCCTCAGCCAGATCGAACAGGGCTTTTCTTCTCAAAACCTTCTGCAGTTTTGAGAAATACAAGTGGCATGTCCAGAGCGTGTATATGTTATGGTGTGTGCATTTGAGCCCATGGGCAGAAGTAGAAAACAGCACATGTTGGCTGGCAGTGGGTCCAGCAGATATCGAACTGTATTTACTTCAGCAGCAATGAAATGATATCACCCTTCTCTAGAAACCCATGTGATACATTGCAATAAAGTTAACTGAGAATGTTACTGTCTTTTAATTCATTTTTATTGATTCACTTTGAAAATATCTGTTATATTTGCTATGACTTATGCTTGAGACAGTAAGCTGTTCCACGTACTATTTGCTAACTGGCTGGTTGCCAAATGTTTCTTGAATTGTGCACTAAAAGGAAACTGTTGCAACTGGTACAGGACACTGCAGTCCTCTGTAATATTCCATTTCCATATGTAAATATTTCTTGAAACTGGGAGAGTTCGTCATCAAGGCCACAAAGACTTCCTTATATGCATGGGGGAGAGGTTAGATCTAACTGCTTGGAAGAGCACTAAGAGGCTGACAAATCCACCATTACAATCATGAAGTTGCCTGGATTTGCTTCTCTGGCAGTGGTGGGGCAAGCGAGGTGCCAGTAGGGGGTGCTGTCTGTTTCATTTCTCCAATCTGGGTGGGCTGACTCGGGGGGTTAGGCGATCTTGTAGGTAAACTGGTCCCAAGTTGTTAAGGTCTTTATATGCTAATAGGAATACCTTGAACTCTGCCTGGTACCCCATCCAGGATAGGCAATGGACCAATTTCTTGGACACGGGGACTACTTACCCACAGTGCATCCATCTTGCCAGGTTTCAAGCTCAGCTTGATTTTATTCATCCATTTCACCACTGCTTCCAGGCAATGGCCCAGGTACTGTACAGCCTCTCTGGATTCAGATGTTATGGCAAAGTAGAACTGAGTGTCGTCAGCATACTGATGGGACCTCACTCCGAAACTCCTATTGACCTCTCCCAATGGAATCATGTAGATATTAAATAGCATTGGAAATAAGCAACTCCATAAAGTGGCCACAAGATGCCCCCCCCCCAAACAGTGTCCCAAAGCTTTTGCAAAGTTTTTTGCAGATACAGTCACTCTGATTCGGAAGGAGGTAGCCACAAGACGGCCCCCCAAACAGTAATCCACAGCTATTCTCGGGACTTGCCATGATACATTTCTTTACTTTTCTATTGATTTTTAATCGAAGCAAATTAAAAAAACAACCAGACAGAGTTATAAGAAAAAAATACACATAGTAAATCAATTGCCATAATATAAATTGATATATGCCATTCAATTGGGTACCCAGCTACATCATTGTGCCAGCAGAAGACTTAATGTTAATGCAATGGGATTTCTCTCCTGCTTGCTTTCCCTACCTGGGTGTCCCACTGTGTTGCCTATGTTGCTCTGGTGGATTTGGGAAATCCCTAGGGCAGGTTAGGCTATGCAGAGGAGGAGAGAGAGAAGGGGAGACCGTTCTGCTGCACAAGGGGAATGTAAGAAGCAGCTGCTGGATCAGGCCAATGGCCCACCAGGTCCATCATCCTGTTCTGCATATGTCCTGCATTATCCTTCTTTTTAAAAGTATCAAGATCTTTCCAAACCACTGTGATCTCAATAGAATGAATATTGCTACAAAAGTCGAATGCCTGCCCCTCTCTCTGCCAAGCGGTGGCAAAAGCCCATGGGGTCCCAGGCACCAACACAGGGTCTGTGTTTCTTTGGAGAATTGAGGATGCAGCAGAGACTGTCGTGGCTTTAAGAAATATGGTTTATTAAGCTATGTACACCTTTGATCTGCATGAAGGGAGTCTAGATATTACAATTATGGGCATTTCAAGAGGGACTTGTACCCCACAGCAGTGAAGGCAGCCTTCAGTCAACCTTCCCAAGATGGATCCCAGCTCTTCTTCCTGCTTCTTCTTCCCAGCACCCTTTGCTTCCAGACAACCTTTTCCTGTCACCCCAAACATACACCCCATCACCTTGGTAACATCCACATCGTGGATTCCAAGTTGGCCCATCAACACCCAGGTTGGTATTCAACTACACCCTTGAATTAGCTCAAGAATTAATAAAAATATCTGAAGAAGTGTGCATGCACACAAAAGTTTATACCAGAACAAACTTAGTTGGTCTATAAGGTGCTACTGGACAATTTTTTAATTTTTTATATTTATTTCAACTGCGTCAGACCAACACGCCTACCTACCTGAATCAAAAATTAATGTTATTCATATTATTAATTAATGTTATTGCAATGGAATTTCTCTCCTCCTTGTTTGTGATTCAAGGACCCGCCACCCGCTTGGGGATAAGAAAGAGACATGGACACGGTATATTAGGTTAATGGGCTAAAAATGGCCACAACTTTATTGATTACAGCATGTGAGAGGTATTGGCTTAGGCATTGGATAAAATTGGATCTGACGAAAACCAGCAGCAGAATGAAAGGGAAGTGCTGCCGCAGCCACGTTTGAGCAGCAAAACTCCGCCCCAAGCCTCCAGCTGGTTGGTTGGCTGCCTGGGGGCGTGGCGCAGCAGCCAGGTCAGCTGGGCAGGGGGCTAGAACGCCCCCTGCCAACGTGGGAAACGGCTTCTGCCCACAACTCCTCCCCTCTGTAAGGAGGAGAGGCTTTTCCCCACTTGGGTGTCCTTGATTTCTCTGGTGCATTTGGGAAATCCCCGAGGGAGGCAGGTTAGGCTGTGCAGAAGAGGACTGGACAATTTTTTTCAAGAAGAGTCCATTTTTATTCATCCTGTTGCTCTCATAAATGTAATATTAATAGCCTCAATAGCCCCTCCCTAATCCGATTCGAGACCAGTGACTTGCATTGTATCACAAATTGGCCTGTATATGATTCTCGTTTTGAGACTGTCGGAATTGGGAGTCTGAAATCTGGAGACAGCTGCTTCCATAGGTTTTCATGCTAGCCACATCTAAACTCCCCCAGCCCCACCCCAATATATATGAAATCAGTGTTGGCTAGGTCCATGTAATAAATTGTTATTTTTTGACAAATACTATATGACATGCAATTTATCACTGGAGTCTTTTTCAGCCTTGCTTTGGCTTATGGTCAAGACAAGCTACTTTGCATGCAACTTCCTAAGCTACTGGTTACCACATATCTCTTGCATGTCCCTAGTTTCTGCACAGGAAAGGGACTGTTATGCTTGTACATCACACCATATAGCAAGACACAAACATAAACTGGAAGATAAGCTGCCGGGGAGGGGAGAGAGATTTGGTCACAAGCCTCTCTACCCCACCATGTGGCTGTTTGCTTCCATGGGAGGCAGTGATGTTTACCACCCTTGATGGCTTTGAAAGAGGGTTAGACAAATTCATGAAGGAGAAGACTATCAATGTGATGGTTATGCTCTACCTCCAAAGTCAGAGGCAGCAATGCTTCTGAATGCCAGTTGCTGGAAACCACAAGAGGAGAGTGTATTAACTTATGGTGTGTGTGTGTGGTTTGGGAGCTGCACGGTCAGGGAAAAAACAATGCTGTCCAGGGTTGTAAAGACTGCAGAGAGAATAATTGGGTGCACTCTTCCCACCTTGGATCAAATCTATGCTTCCAGGTGCCATAAGAAAGCTGCAGAGATAGCGCAGGATAGTGCGCACCTCAGAAATGATTTATTTCAGCTTCTGCCTTCTAGAAGAAGGTACAGGGTTATAAAGACTAGGACTAGCCGCCTGAGAAACAGTTTCTACCCAAATGCGATTTTGGTTTTAAATGCATTGTAAGGAGTCTGTATGGGAGTATACTGTATTTAAAAATGGGGTATCAGAGTTTTTAGGGGGCTAACCAGGTTGGGATGTCTGGGATAGCAGGCTTGTTGGGTTTTGAATGTCTTATGTAGATTTTTCAATTTCGTTGT